CACCCACAAAAGGAACTGGCTGCACTTAGCTCTTTAGGGTGCTGGCTTACTGATAAGATGCACAAACTGATAGGTGCTAGATTTCCCATGTTTATGTGATCCTAATGAAGCTATTGCTTTCTCGTATCTGAAAGGGACTAAAATGGCCAGTGAGCAACCACCTCCTCTGGGTTCACTTTAAAGTTTCCCTGGATTTGTGGCTTGGGAGCTGCTCTCGCAAGATCTGGCACTGTGACTTTGCATGTGACCGCCCACGCCTTTCTTCGGCGACTCTCCAAAGGCCTCCTATCAAGTACTCCATATGGTGGCGCAGTCCTTGCCGGGTCCGACTCTTGATTTCAGCTCAGGTCATGATCTCAGGGTGACGGGATCAGGCCCTGTGTTGGGCTCTGTGCTGATGCTCTCTCTCTCTCAAAAAAGAAAAAAAAGAAAAAGAAAAGAAAAAAGTTCTTGCCCAGCATCTTACAAGCGAAGTTGGTAGAAGCTAGTGTCTAAGTGTTCTCTCTCTCTCTCTCTCTCTCTTTTTTTAAAGATTTTATGTATTTATTTGTCAGAGAGAGAGAGGGCACAAGTAGGGGGAGTGGCAAAGGGAGATGGAGAAGCAGACTCCCCACTGAGCAGGGAGCCTGATGCAGGACTCGATCCCAGGACCCTGAGATCATGACCTGAGCTGAAGGCAGATGCTTAACGACTGAGCCACCCAGGCGCCCCATGCCCAAGTATTCTGGTACTATATTTTGTTGATTGAACAGATATTTCTCCAAGAACTGCATCGTTCTAGACACTGTGGGGAAGATCAAAGGGAAAAAAAACAGACCCTTTCTTTGTAGGTCAGCACCTTCTGTTTGAAAAAGCCAACAGTTAACCTCATATATTACCATATTGAGTAGATGCACTGTCCTCATTTTTGGTTGCTGGTATGGCCTGCTTCATGTTGATTCCTGTTAACTCTGATCTTTAGAAGATGTTTTCTGTCCTGACGACGTTTTCCCTAAGAAATTCCAATGTAATGTGTTATGGCGTTCAGAAGAAGGGATGGTGCATCCAATGAAAGGGGAATACTCAAGGAATTCATAGAGGAGAGGACGTCATTGCCTTGCCCTATTCTGGAAGTTTATGGACAAGAAAAAGAGGTCCTTATTTTAATGAAGTCAGACAACTTAAAAAATATCTTTGGACCTTCAAAATCCTCTAGAAGACAAATTATTATTTATACGTTAGATTTCTCATAGTTAATGTATTAGCTTTAGGTAGGTTAAATTCATGTTACTAAGCTGTTTCTTGAAGCTACATGTATACTTTACGGTGGAGAAACTCTACCATATAACTTGTACCACTAAATGTGTAGTATAATTTAAACTAGGTACCAAGTTTTTGATCCTAGTTGTGCAGGATAAGTTAAACTTAAATTTCATTCTGTTAACCAATATGAGTGTATTTCTGCAAGCATAGTTATGTTGAAATAAAGATTTAAAAAGAAAAAAAAATGGGTAGTATATTTCTACCCATTTTTTTTTAAATGTTATATGCAGAAGTAGGGTCGGAGGGTAGAGAAGAGCCACACAGGATTCCAGCGCCAGCTCTGACCCTCAACACACCCCCTTACCATTCCGGAGCCCCTGAGTTCTCTCTTGTCAACCTCAGGACCTTTCCAGTTCTGCTGTTCTCTCACTTTCTGAGCTTGACTCTCTCTCCTGCTCCTCTTCAGATAACTAAGATAGGAGATAAGATAAAAGATCACAAGCTTCTTAAAAAACGCCAGAAATTACCTGCTATCATGCATGCCCGCGTGTGTGCACCTAATCTCAGCTGGTCCGCCCCAGACCCCTGAGCGCCAACCCTATTGCCCCGCGCGGTCCCATTTCTGCACCAACAAAATGAAAGAAACTATCATGAACCAGGAGAAACTCACCAAACTGCAAGCACAAGTGCGCACTGGTGGGAAAGGAACTGCTCGTGGAAAGAAGAAGTGGTTCATAGAACGACTCCAGCAGATGATAAAAAACTTCAGTTCTCCTTAAAGAAGTTAGGGGTAAACAATATCTCTGGTATTGAAGAAGTGAATGTGTTCACAAACCAAGGACGAGGGATCCACGTTAGCAACCCCAAAGTTCAGGCATTGCTAGCAGCAAACACTTTCACCATTACAGGCCATGCTGAGACAAAGTGGCTGACAGAAATGCTACCCAGTATCTTAAACCAACTTGGTGCAGACAGTCTGACTAGTTTAAGAAGACTGGCTGAAGCTCTGCCCAAACAATCTGTGGATGGAAAAGCACCACTTGCTACCGGAGAGGATGATGATGATGAAGTTCCAGATCTTGTGGAGAATTTTGATGAAGCTTTCAAGAATGAAGCAAACTGAACTTAGTCAACTTCTGAAGAAGATAAAACTTGAAGAAGTTACTGGGAGCAGCTATTTTATATTATGACTGCTTTTTAAAATTTTGTTCATGGATCTGATAAAATCTAGATCTCTAATATTTTTAAGTCCAAGCCCATTGGACACTGTAGCTCTCTTTAGTTTTTGCTTATACACAATCCATTCTTTGCAGCTAATTAAGCTGAAGAAGCCTGGGAATAAAGTTTGAAACAAGGTTAATAAAGTTCTTTGCCTAGGAAAAAAAAACCAACAAACACAAATGCCTGAAATTAGTGATTCAGCTGCTCAGGTGCTGGGCAGAGGAAGACCCATGCATGCAGGGTGGGTGGGGAGGGCTTCACCCAGGAGAGTCTGAGCTGAATCCGGAAAGTTGGAGGAAAGGAGTTTCATGGTTTGTCTTTAAATTTTTCTGTCTTGTCAATCTGATCTCATCTCAGAAAATCAGTACTGATAGTAAAGGCCAAAAATATTTCAATGATGTGTTGTTTGAAGAGAAATCTGACAATTAGACATTTTGAGCAGAGGCCAAACCACAAATAATCCCTAGTTCTATGGCATGGCCAACTCGTGGATGTAAATTTACATTCAGCCCTCCGGATCACTAGCTTGACTTCGAAGAGCTTAGGTTTTCTGCATTCATTTATCTCAGAGCCACTTTGTTTTTCCCTGCAGAGATTCTTGAGATATTTTCTATTCAATAATAGAGCCATATCAAGTTCCCTTGCAAGATTCCTTCTATTAAATCAGAGGCCTAGACTACTAACATGTGACATTCTGTTGTGTGCTGCATCACAGTACCTTTTAGCGTGTAGTATCGGACATGTTTTGAAGCCGGTCCCTTTCTCTGTTGTCACTCAGAGCCTCACTGCGAGAGATGACCTCAGAGGATGCTTCTTTTTACCCCGTAGTCTTACTGTTTCACCACTGGCCTTACGTTGTCTGTACCAGTCAATCCCATTTTCCTCTTTTGGTTTTCTTTTTAAAATTGTTTTCCTCATTTGATTTTCTTTTAAAAATGTTTTCAACATTCATTTCTTCATCAGTTATAAAAAAGTTGGAGAATACCAAAACTCATAAAGGCGGAAATAACAATGATCCAGATTCCCAACACTCAAGAGTTAATGACTGTTCATACTTTGGGTTGTTTATTCTCAGTCTATCCCTTTATCTTTCTTGGGTACTTCAATACCCTAAAAAATGCAGATTTTTCCCCACTAACAAGTTGAGGATGATTGAGGCTACTACAAAGTAAGTTTCTGTCTCTTAACCTTGAGCGCTAGATTAATCGGGCTTCCCTCGCAGTGCTGCATAACAGACAATTTCCAAGTCTCAGTGTCTCATAACAGTGACATTTATTTCACACTCGTGGTGTGCAGGGTGGCTGAAGTTTGAGCTTGGCTGGCTCAGCTGAACTAGGCTGGACTCCAGGCTTCATGTCTAGTCCACACATCACCATTTTAGGGTCTTGGCTGAAGGATCCACAGCTACCTGAAGCATGCTCTTCTCTTGGCAAAGGGTGATTGGTGGAAACCAGCCATGCTTTCTAAGGCCTGAGCTCAAAATTGGGGCATTGCCATCCCACCCACATTTCATTGGTCAAATCAAGTCACTTGGCCAAGCCTGGAGTCAATAGGGTGGAGAAGAATACTCCTCCCATGGGGGGACCAAGGAGTATTAGTTTGTTAGGGCTGCCATAACAGATACCACAGACTTGAACAAGGAAAGTTCATTTTCTCACAGTTTTAGATACTATAAGTCTTGAGATGAGGGTATGGTCAAGGTTGATTTCTTCTGAGGCCTCTCTCCTTGGCTTGTCAGGGTTGTCTTCTTCCTCTGTCTCCACATGGTCTTTCCTTTGTGTGTATTTAGTCCTAAGCTCTCTGTCTTATAAGGACATCAATCATGTTGGATTATAGCCCACCTGAATGATACCATTGAACCTTAAATTTCTCTTTAAAGACTGCCTCCAAATGCAGTCACATTCTGAGGTACTTGGCACTAGGATTTCAATATATGAGTTTGGGAGGGGGCCCATAACACATAGTAAAGGTGGGAAATGAAGGAAGGGTTGTAGATAAAGAACCCCAAGCACTTAACATCAGTGAGGCTCAGCTTCCTCATCTTTAAAACAGGGATAGGCATCTCTATGTTATGGGTTTGTTAGGGACTGAATGAGAAAATTCCTGTGAAGCCCCTGCTGCAGGAGGTGGTAAGGATGGGTGTGGTTCTACTTCACGTGGAAGGACCAAATCCAGCCTTCTCGGGCCTGTCACCTTGTTGTTCTACCATGGGGGCAAGCTGGGGGTGTTCAGTGCTTCTCAGAATGGCCTCCACAGCAGCTGTACCATCTTCATAACAAAGTCAATAGAGCCTTTTGGGTACTCAATCTGTGACCTTGGTTTTGGTGACACCATTTCTACCCATGAAGACCTTTTATGGCTTAATAGGGCTGTGGACTTCATATTGACCTAAGGCTTGGCCCTCCACCCTAAGGACCGCAGTTGAATGCCTATGGAAACAGTGAGCCAGGAGGTCGGAGCAGGGAGTGTCCCTCTCTCTGCCTCTGTGTTCAAAGCCAACAGCCTCACACAATCTCCTTTTGGTTTTTTTCCCCTAGAATATTGTGTTAAGGAATGGTTCCGAGACCTTTGACTCCTGGAAGAAGGCCCCTGTGCCTGTGTATGCCCAGTTCTATTTCTTCAATGTCACCAATCCAGAGGAGATCCTCAGAGGGGAGACCCCTCGGTTAGAAGAAGTGGGGCCATATACCTACAGGTGAGTCCTGACCACCTCCCTGCCATACCAACCAAAAATATGGAGTGACCCCACTGTGGGCTGAGTCCACCTCTCTTCCCACGAGCATCCTTTGTGCGTTGGGTGGGGAGCACATGTTTGGGTGACATCTGTCTGAAATGTTGCTGATGGTTGGCACACACCTGTGACACCTCAACAGAGAATGGCTCTGTGGAGTAGGGCCAGTCTCAGCCTGTTATATTTAGAAATGCAGCTGCTTCCTCCTGAGTTGGCTGTACGTGATTTTGAGCCATGAAGAGCTGTTCCCTACCCCCAACCCTTTTAAGGTTACCCCTTGATTCTCTTAAATGACTTATAGGGCCTTCCTCTATTTCCGTCCCCCACATACTGTTTTAGACCAGGTCCTACAATTTGTTGTTTGTAGACAGGCCTTTCTGTTTCTTATTCACTCCTTTTCCCCACCCCTCCTGGCTATGAGAGATAACTAAGTGGCAGGGTACGTTAGAGCCTTTGGCAGGGATGACCAATTCCAAACACGGGGGAGGTAGGAGAATCACTTTAATCATTTTTTAGAAGATTAGTAGAGGGAGGTGCTCAGGAATCTTATGATCAGAGCATTTTCCCTGTTGTTGCAGTACCCACCTCTCCCACCCACCCACCCCCAATAATCTTTCCAACAAAATTTCTCCTTACCTAGTTTAAGAAAAACTAGAGGGGGGCACCTAGCTCACTCAGTTGGAGGAGCGTGCAACTCTTGATCTTAGGGTTATGAGTTCAAGCCCCAAGTTGGGTGTAGAGATTACCAAAAAAATAAACTAAAAAAACAAAAACAAAAACAAAAACAACAGTAGAAGAAGCAGACAGCAAGATCTTTTTTTGTATAGAACTGCTAAATGGTAAAAATGCCTCACAATTCTGTTGTAATCTATTGCTCAATAAATGGTTGCTGACTAATTCATATTATAAATCAGCGCTATTCCCTTCCAAGAATTCAGAGATAAAAATCTTGGTCCCATGGGGCATCTGGGTGGCTCAGTCGGTTAAGTGACCGACTCTTGGTTTCAGCTCAGGTCATGCACTCAGGGTCCTGAGACTGAGCCCCTGGTCAAGCTCTGCACTCAGCGGGGAGTCGGCTTGAGAGTCTTTCCCTGCCCCTCTGCTTCCTGCTATATATGTGTGCGTGCACACGTTCTCGCTCTCTCTTAAATAAATATATAGATTGAATCTTTAAAAAAAAAAATCTTGATCCCTGCCTCAGGTGTTCATGGTCTAGCTCTGGAGTTGAATTACCTGTTTTGAATCTCACCTCAACCACTTACTAGTTTTCTGTGTCTCTGTTTCCTTACCTGGAGATAAAAATAGGACACCCAACCCAGGATTGTGATCGGAATTAAATGAGCCAATGAGTCAGTATTTAAAAAGTGCTTAGATGAATGCCTAGCACATACTTAGTGCTAATTGAGTGTTTGATATTATTATTTGTCTTAGCGGATTGTTTTAGTCTATATAAACCAATATCCAGATTTGTAAAGATGAACTTTGTTGTCATATAAAGGAATTTTAAATAAATACTTGGGTCTTTATTTTTAAAAGCAAAGTTTTGTATGGGTTTAATGCCTACAGAAACTATGTGCAGGGTAGAGCAGATCTGTGTTTGTGGCTAGCCTGCTCAGGGATATTTAGAAGTTGAACTAAAATTAGGATCTGAATGTCCTGTTTATCTGCTTTTTTGTTTTGCAATTTTAACCATTTTCTATTGAGATTAAAAGAAAGCAATATAAAATGGGTAACCATTTTTAAGTGTACAGTTCAGTACTGTTAAGTATGTTTTTACATTGTTGTGCAACAAATCTCTAGAACTCTTTCATCTTACAAAACAGACACTCTGTAACCATTAAATAACTCCCCTCCCCTTGCCCCCTAGCTCCTAGTAACCACCATTCTACTTTGTTTCTATGAATTGGACTGTCTTAGATACCTTGTATGAACGGAACCATACAGTATTTGTTTTTTTGCTGTTTGTTTTTTCACTAAAATTTTTTGGGTGGGGGGAGACTGCCTCCACGTAAGAATGAACTCACCTGAGAACTAAGGAAAACAATTTGCCCTCGGAGTCTCCTGGACCTGTTCCTATGGTCATTATCCTCTTTTGAGAAAAAGAGATGCGTTGTAATCATAACCCAGAAAAAAACTAATATTCCATTAAAATGTCTTCCAGGCCATTGTGTCCGCCGGCTTAATGTGCTATTGTAGGTGTGGTCACGGGGATAAATAAATCCTAGAAGTAGGGCGCCTGGGTGGCTCAGTTGGTTAAGCGACTGCCTTCGGCTCAGGTCATGATCCTGGAGTCCCGGGATCGAGTCCCCTGTCGGGCTCCCTGCTCAGCAGGGAGTCTGCTTCTCCCTCTGACCCTCTTCCCTCTCGGGCTCCCTATCTCTCATTCTCTCTCTCTCAAATAAATAAAATCTTAAAAAAAATAAAAATAAAAAATAAATAAATCCTAGAAGTAAAGCAGTGTCTGACTGTTAACCAAACTCCCTCCATGTTCCCGTTTTAGAGGGACCAAGACTTACTCCTGACAAAAGCCCCAGAACATCTTGCTAGGGGTTCTTAACCCTGGGTCCACGGATCCCTAAGGCCCATGGATAGAATCCAAGGTGGTCTGTGACTTAGGTGGGGAAAAAAATTATAATTTATCTTCAATAACCATTCACTAAAATTTAGAATGTCCTTTGAGTATAAATGTAGGCAACAAACTGCAGTGATGTAAGCAGTACCCGTGGCTTCATCACCAGTGGAAACACAGATATTGTTGTGTCTCATGATAGATGTTGCTCAAGATATCGTTCATTTTCAGAAATGTCTCAAAATTACAGTAACTGTTAGACTTGCAGCTGCATCTTATTTAAAGTGTCAATAAAGAAGTGTGTATATTACCATATCACAGATTTTTAAAATGATACCTGTATTTCAGTAATTGGCTTCCTTTGTAATCCTGAGTATTTTAGTCTCTGTATGTAAAAACATTTATCTGAGAAAGGGTCCATAGACTTGATCAGACTGCTGTGGGGGCCAATGGCCAATGGCATAGATGAAGGGTCCTGAGAGCAGATCCAGGCGTTTGGAAGGCAGGTTGGTCACTCACTGATTGCTTCATATTTCCTTCCTCTGGTTTTTCTCCCTGCCCTGGTTTCTCTTCCGTTCCACTGCCAAAGATGATTTCCCAAAGGGAAATCTGCCATTTCCTTCCCTTCCCTGCTCAGGGCCCTAGAGACTCTTCCTGTGTGATGTTCCAGGCATGAGCAATCTGGCTCCTTTTCTATGTCTAGCTTCTTTGTTTTATTTTAATTTTAATTTAATTTTTTGGCACTCTCAACCTAGGCTTTTATACTCTGACCAGAGCTATCCAATAGAAATTAACTCTAAGCCACATATGTTAGTTGAAAATGTTCTAGGAGTCACATTTTAAAAAGGTGAAATTAATTTTAGTATTTTATTTACCCCAATAAGTATCCCAAACAGTGTCCTTTCAACATGTAATCAATATCCAGAATTATTAATGAAATGCTTCACATCCTTTTTTTTTTTTTTTATAAAATACTAAGTCTTTCAAATCCATAACACATCTAATTTTGGACTAGCCAAGTTTCGAGTGTATAATACAGCCACATGGGGCTGGTGGCTACCATGTTGGACAGCACAGTTCTAACTGTATTCCAGTTGGTTGTTTGGTCCCCGGACAGTGCTCTGCCATTTCGAGCTGTTCCCTCAGTCAAGAATGAACTCACCAGGATGCCTGGGTGGCTCTGTGGGTTGAGTGTCTGCCTTCAGCTCAGGTCATGATCCCAGGGTCCTGGGATTGAGTCCCGCATTGGGCTCCTTGCTCAGTGGGGAGCCTGCTTCTCCCTCTACCTGCCGCTCCCCCCTGCTTGTGCTCTCTCTCTCTCTCTCTGTCAAATAAATAAATAAAATCTTAAAAAATAAAAAAATAAAAGAATGAACTCACCACTGCCTCTCTCAGCTCAAATGGTGCCTCTTCCTGAAACTTTCCCTGACTTTGGATGAGCTCTCCCTGGTATGTGTGTCTGTTACAAACTGACTAAATGCATTTTAACAATTGGTTACATATCTGTCTTTCTTCCCAGTGTACTGAAAGCTCAAGGAGGGGCAGAAACGAAGTCTTTCGTACTGGACTATCCAGTGGCCGGTGAATATTTGTGAAACAAGTGAATGAAACATCCTCAGCCGTGGTTTAAATCCATAGGGACACAAGAGGAGAAATTGTGGAAATCCGCAGAACACAGGTAGCTCAGCTGGAACCACAGGACTTAATCAGGGAAGCCCAGGAGCCAAGGATAGGTTCAAGAAAGAGGAATAGGGTCTTGAAAATGAATGCCTTTGTTTAGGAACAGACGCTCACGTGCACAGTGCAAACTGCAGAACCTTCCTGGCAGGGTTGAGTGGGTTGTGAGCTGGAATTTGCAGAACAACATGGCTTTTTAGTAACACTTGTGGCCCTTCCAGTGAGCCTTTTGCAGTCATCTAGTGGATCTGATTTCTACCACTCGTGATTTAATTATGCTATTGTTTAGGCAAGACAGACAGAACATTCCAGTAACTCCTGCCCCAGTGCTAGATAGTTCCATGGGTTCCCTCCCAACTGAGTCAGCTGACTTGATTGGGTCCACAAGGGCCTGGGGCAAAGGAAGGGGAAGGCATGCTGGCCTCCCACTGGTCAGTGTGGATTGGTCTTGCTGGTGGGAAATTTTTGAGAAGGGGGAAAGGACATGCCCTGATTAATTGGACATACAATTTACAGTGGCATGTTCCCCCAAACTTTCACATACTGGTAAGTTCAGTGTATTAATGTTTTTGGAAAAAGATGATGGCAGTTCCACCCTTAGATACAAACCAGTCAGTCTGGTTTAAGGAATGTCGTGCGTTATTTACATTTGTATAAAGCTGTGGTTTGAGCAGCCCTGGACCGGGCCTGTTAGCACAAAGCTAATTGGCCTCATGAT